TGCCTGGCTTGCTGCAGCCAGGAGTCTTCTTGGGGAAGGGACCAAGCCTCATGTCCTTGCTGGAACACGGCTGAGCTTGGCCCCCAGGGGATTTACATCCCAGGACTGCTGTGGAGATGACTTGAGGAGAGTCCTGCGGGGCAGGGTGCCAGGTGCTCTGTGTGTCTTCGCGCTGCTTTTGGCAGCAGAAGTGAGGTATGTTTGGAGGTATGCGAAGCTGCGTTTCTAAGAGCTCAGAATGGCACGGGTGCCAGCTCTGGAAGCGGGTATTATTCTAGAGAAAATGGTGAAAAGTGGGACAAACTGTGAAAAACGCTGCTCAGGAGAGTCGGTGGAGCAGAGGGCAGTGTGAGGCGCAGCGCACGACGTAGACCTCTTAGCATTAATCACCCCGTTATGGTAACCCCGGTACACAAACAGTGGGAATTGATGGAAGTCCTTTAATCCCCTGTATTGACTGCACAGGGGGAGGTCTGTGCTGTGCCGTGGTGCGCTCAGCCTGCGGGTTTATCTGCCGGGGTGGGATTGATTTGAAGGCTGCACCCTCGCGTGTGGGTGAGGTGCTCTCTGTGCATCCTGGCTTTGCTGCAGTCCAGGGTGGTGTTTTGAGCTGGGGTGGAAAGTAGACAAGATTCCTGCTTTAGGATGCTTCATCCGAGCCTTATTTTCCACATGTGCTATGGGGGGGGGTGTCTGTCTGTAGGTGGAAGAGGTGAGTCTGAGATTTTGTCCTGCTGAAGACCTTTGAGACTTGTGGCCAAGCAGCCCTGCTGGCGTGGTGTTCCCAAGCCCCTGAGCTTGCCTGGGACCTCTCCTTTCAAATCCAAGACATTCCAGCTGACTTTGTGGTGGGGTCCATGGGATGTTTTGGGTCCATGGGATTTTTATCACAGCCCATCTCATCTCATCTCATGTGCTGGGTGTCTGTGAGCTGTGGGGGCATCCCGGCACAGCTCGGGGGGCCTGGTCTGAGGGGCAGCAGTGCCGGTGGGCACGGCAGTGAGGAACCTGCGGGGATGGAGGCTGGGAGGCAGGCACGGTCTCCGCATTCCTGCGGCGCTGTTGGGAATCTGTTATCGGCCTTCGGAGGGAGCAGGAGCATGATTCACCAGAAAGTCCTCTGGGAATGCACTGGGGTTTCAGGTTTCTTGAACGATCAGCTAGCGATTCCAGGACCAGGAATATGTCAGAGCAGCCTCTCCTCGCCCCGAATTTCCTCCTCCCCCCTCTGCTGCTGTTCAGGCCGTGCTGGGGGACTCGTACTGAAAGCAGTTTTTGTTGTTTTGCTTTGAGGTTTCTTTCCTGCTAAGGTCTAAGCCTTTGGTTTCAAGCCGTGGCTTTTCAGATGTACAAGGCACAAATATTCCCTCTGCGTTTAGACGTAGCACTTCATTCAGCAGAGAGGTTTGTCAGCCTCCTTCCCCATATCAGGTAGGCGAGATTGGCGCCCCATTTAATGGTGGGGGGATCAAGGCAGCCAGAAGCAACCCATCTTGCTCCAGGTCACCCGTGGGATCAGTGGCAGCCAGGGGCAGAGCCCAGGAGTCTTGGATCCTTGCTTCAGCCACTGGGAATTAAATTTTCTATTGTCTTTAAAACTGCTGGGCTAGAGTGGGTGTGTTGCTAAATTGCAGAGGGAGCCAGATTTCTCTGCAATCTCCTTTTTGTCGTGTTCTTTTCAAGATGTTTTGGAGCGTTTGTCTCCCCGTGTCAGTTTATCTACTTCCTAATTAATTCTCTTCCCCGGCCCAGATGTGTGCCTGCCTGCTGGAAGCTGCTTGGAAGGGGTGTGCACGAGGATCTCGCGGCACTCAAGGTGTCTGTCAGCACACAGCAACCACACAGATGGGAGGCTGGGGTGGATTCCTGCTACGCATCCACAACAGGATCCAATTGTTGCTCCTGCTGAAAGCACGGCAGAATCTGCAGGGAGCTGTTTGTGGCCTTTCTGCCCTTAGAATTTGCAGAGGGAGCATTATCGGGCTCAATTAAGACCGGAGAATGGGACAATTTCCCCAGGGGAAGTGCTGCTGCTTGAGCCAGGATCCCCAGGTAGCTGTGCTTGGCTTTGTGTGCTCAGCACTCGAGGTGAGGTACAGCGCCCCGCAGCACCTGCCCGCTCCCAGAACGAAGGAAGAAGGGACTCGAAAAAGATGCCCCGAAAATGTAAGGTTCTGGAGGGACCGGGCAGCATCCGAAAGTTTCGTTAGGGGGGCTGCGAGGTCCTTCGGGGCTGCGGGCTGTGCTCCCTGCCACAGGTTGGAAAGTCCTGCCTCTAAGCGTGTTGGTTGACAGCTTGTAAACATTGCCTGGTTTCTCACTGAAGACGTGACCAGAAGAAAAACTCTGGCTGGGCTTGGAAAGAGCAGGGGAACCCTTTGCCTCGGAGAGACGCTTCCTTTCGAGGCGTCTCATGCCCAAAGGTGCTCTCCGGCAGCAAAAGCCACGCAGACCCAGCCCAAAAGCCCAATAAAGTAGCAGATCAGGTGGAGTGGTGCAGCCTGAACCCTCGGCAGCTCCTCTTACACGGCCAGGAGGTGTTCCCTTGTAGAATGCAGCCTGTGCGGTGTCCCATTTGGAAGGAAGCTGCAGTTCCTGCTTGCACGAAGGATGGTTTTGGGAGACGTCTGGTTGGGTTTTATCCAGGCTGCACCTAGAGGTGGCCGTCCACTTGTTAGCCCATGGATTAAGTGCCTCTGATGGTGAGCTGCCACGGTGAGCTGCAGGGACCTGACTTTCTTCCTCCTTCCTCGGGGTGCTCACACGCCCGTCCCTTGCTGCGCTACAGCCGAGGCTGTGCTGCAGCGCTGCTGAGCACATGTTTGGTGAGGCTCTTCGGGATCTGCTTTGAATAAAACCCTGCCTTCATGCAGATGTGCCCCAGTCGGGCTCACCTCTCCAGCCCGGAGCTGCTGTGGATGGCGCTGGTGGCTCCTCCTTGGCTGATGCAGCACCCGCTGGTGCTCATCACTTGGTGACCCTCGGGGCTGCGGCACGTCGCCTTGCCAAAATCGCCCGGTGCGGAGCCGGTGCCGCGGCACGCGGGGACTTCAGGCCACCAGCGGCGGAGCTGCTGAAGGGTTTGCTGTCTGAGATGCTGTCTGGCAGCATCCCCTTCCAGCGGGGAGAAGCTCCCCGAGGCTGGCGAGCCCGTGATGGCAGGCAGCACGCGTGCTGCAGTCTGTGCCATATGGACCTTCTCCTCCTCCCTGCTCCGCTCCCCTCCCCCTGCGGGCGCTTTGACGGAGCAATCGGGCAGGCGCTGGGACAGCGACTCCGCCATAAATCTCTCCTGGTGTGGAATGAGGGGTATAAATATCCAGAGAGTGATGTGATCTTTCCAGCTGCTATTAATAGGTCCCCAGAGAACCAGAGCGCGCTAGCAAGGCTGGCTGACGCTTAAAGGGCTAGCAACTCCCCGATGTGCTGTGAAAATTAATCAGCGCTGTGGCTCACCATCTTCCTCCAGGCGAGAGCGGAGCCCTCGGAGAGGTGTGTGGAGGAGGAGGGAGCAGCTTTAGGCCGAGCTGTGCACAAATGATGCGGCTCAGCAGCTCGCAGTGCCGCTGCTGTGGGCTTCTCCGCTGGGCACCGCTGTGCCAGCCAGCTGCTGGCTCCCCCGTGCCCTGCAGGGAGCACGAGGGAAGAAAAACGTTTTGCAGGCAGGGAACTCGTTGGGAAATTAGTGGCAAGATGCAGCACATCTCTGTCTTTCAGAGGTTACGGGTCTGCAAAGGGGGCTGTGGTCTTTATCTGTGTGCCGGTCTGGGGATGGCGTTGTGCCCAAGTGTGGGTCTTGGCACTGCTGTGTCTCCAAACCTGCTTTCAGCACGCTGGAGGTGGTGCGCACGGTGCTGCCAGGCTCTTTTCTGTTCTATTTAGGGATGTGGGGTTTCATCTGGAGCTTCCTGTCCTTGGGTGGCAGAAAAAAATCCCTGCTCAGCATCTGGGCTGCTTAAGGCCAGCTGGGAAGAGCGGAGCGTGGCCCCAGCCAGCCCTGGGTGCTGGGAAATTCATCTGCCTGTGCAAGGGACGGTGTGGAGGGGGTGTCACGCAAGCAACATAACCAAAATAAGCAATCAAAGTAATCCCTCAGCCTCCACAAGCTCATGACGAGGTTGGATGGGGCTTCAGGCAACCTGATCCAGCGGGAGGTGTCCCTGCCCGTGGCAGAGGGTTGGGATATGATGGTTTTTAAGGTCCCTTCCCACTCAAACCGTGCTGTGGTGCTGTGAAACACGTGGCTCGCTCTCCTTGAAGCAGAGGAGGCTGTGGCAGGTCCTGGGAGCCCGGTCTGGGCCTCCCCCAGAAGCCTGCGTGCTCTGCCCTGACCTCCTCTTCCCCGAAACGTTCTGCCTCGGCCTGCGGGGCTTTCCAGACAGACGGGCTGGGTCTGGAGCAGCAGAGCTTCGCCGGCAGGCCCTGGGCATGTTGCATCGTCCCACTGGGCTGGAAGCTGCTGCCGAGGTGGGAGCTTCCCCGCAGGGGCTCGGGGCAGGAGCCGGCACCATCCCTGCAGCCCCTGAGACACGGGGATGCGGCTTGGCTGCCCACTGCCGCCTGCCCTGGGCTCCTCTTGCCTGCAGTGCGTTGCCTTTTCTACCTTCTCTGTTTGGTCTTCTGCTCAGGAGAGCTCCTCTGCTGCCTCAAGCCTTTTCAGCCCTCCTCTGTCCCTTCCCAGACCTCTCTCTCTCCATGGGTTTGTGCCAAGAGCACTTTCTGTTCCCACAGCTGTCTCCTGCGTGTGTAACGCAGCGCAGGGTGCTGAGTTAGCAGCAGCAGCGCCTGGGCTGCCCAGACATCACAAGGGGCCCTCAAACCACGAGGTTGCAGAGGTGTTTGACCTCTGTTGACACTGCCAGAGCAGCTCTCAGCATCCTTCCGTGCACCAAAGGGCAGGGCTGGCACGCAGCAATGCCCCGTTCTCGTCCTGACCCCATAAGTGAGGGCTCTCTGCCCGCGGGCTCTGTGCTGACCCTCTCTGCCCTTTTCTCTTGCAGGTTTCTGACCGAAGGGCCTGGGAGCTCCCTGCAGTGGTGCCGTGGGCCGCTCCAGCCAAACCAATGCACCCTGACAACAAACTGCCCAGCCATGGCAAGGCAGGCAGCGGCGGTGCCCCAGCCCAGCACCACAACGTGAGCCAAGCACCCACCTGCAACCTGGGCTCCAAGGGTGTGGGGGCGGGCAGCCATGGCAGCAAGGCCACTCAGATCTCCCCTGGCAACTCTGGACTGAAAAACAGCCAGAACGCTGTCCCAAACTTCAGCTCCTTGAAGGGCAAGGTGAAACGGGAACGAAGCATCTCAGTGGACTCCGGAGAGCAACGAGAAGCCAGCACCCCGTCGCTGGACACGGAATCGAAAGGTAGCGTGCTCCTAAAGCTTGACTCAGGCAGCCCTTCTCTCGGTTGCTCCAAGCATCTTGGCAGGACCAGGGCTCGGAGCAGCTGTGAGCATCTTGTGTTTCCATGCTGCCACTGCTGTTCGGGCTTGCCCTGGCTGCCTGTGCATCTTTTGCATCTCTGCTTGGCATAGCTGCAGCTTTGGGAGCAGAGTGGCTGACTGTTGTCCCTGTGTTTTGTTTTGTTGCTTTTTTTTTTTGCATTTCATTCCCTAAACTGCTGGTTGCACTGGGAGCCTTGGACTCTGCTTTTCATGGGCTTCTGAGGTGTGCTGAGCAAGACCTTCACTGAAACTGCTCCAAGTGCCCCTGCTCTGTGTTGTACAGACTTTCAACTCAGGACAGGATTTAGTTTTGTGTTTTTTTTTTTTCTGTCTCCTCGCTGCTGGCAAAGCTCTGCCTTTGTGGTATTCTTGCAGCTGTCCAGCTACTCCGCTGTGGTTAGCGAGGAGGTGCTGCAAGGGTCTCTGTCTGAACAGCTCTGTGGTTTCATCAGCTAGGGGTGACTCTTGTGCTGAAGCATGTGGCTTCTGGAAAAGGGCTGAGTCAGTACTTCCAAACCCTCTGGCTTCCCTGCCCCAGCTGCCCTTCCCTGTAGTTTCTTGCATTCCACCAAGCCTGGTGCTCAATGGCTGCGTGTGGCGCTTGGCTGCAGGAAGCAGGCTTGGGGGGAGAGAAATGCCAACGGTGCCCAAGGAGCAGAAAATCACTGAAATGACAGATCAGGACTGAATGCCTGAATGTCCTCAATTTCTGCTGCAATTCATTGATGTGTCACGTGAATACGGCCTGTAAACGACTCGATGTTGTACAAAGGGTGATCAGTCAGTGTTATGCTAAAGAACAGCGCCCAGCCCAGTCTGAGCAGGTGCTCCAGGACCTTTACTGGGGCTGGGGGATGTCAGCGTGAGGCTGCTCACCCCTTGCATCCTGGCTGGGCTGGCAGAGCCATCCCTCGGAGCACTCTGACACGTGTGTACTTGATGGAAGGTGTAGATATCAACAGGACCTGTGGAAACCAACCACTTCTCTGCCTTGCTGGGAAATTGGTAGTCCCCAAGGGTAGGAAAGCAACCTGCAAGCCAAGAAGCTCAGCTCTGCTCAGCACGGGCTGTGTCAGCTGCCTCGCTCAGCTCTGTCCTCGAGCATCCCCCATAGTCATGCTCTGGTCCCGTCTCTTTTTTATTTCCGCTCAATTTTGGAGGCTGTCTGCCTTTGGTTGCTTGGTGGGGAGGCAGGGGGAGAGGTGAGTGTTGTCATTTCTCTTCTCCCACTGCTCTGAAGTCTGCGGCCAGGCCAAAAAGACAGCCTTGCTCGGTGGTTCATCAGGACACCCTCGCAGGAACTGCCTGCTTGGAGCTAGCAAGAGAAAGGGGAGGAAACCAGCAGGCCTCTGACAAGCTCCCTGCCTGTCTGTTGTGCTAGACTTTGAGTTTTTGTGAACGGCAGACAGTCTGGTACTGACTGTGCCATCCTGGCAGCACTACAACCAGCGCTCTGCCTCCTGAGGAGGCTGTGTCTCACCAGTGCATCCCATTGCTGTTTAGGGTCTTGGCACACCATGCCCAGGGTGGCCCTTGGCAGGGGACGGTGTCTCAGTGCCAGCTGTGGGATGTGGTCGGTGAGCCTGGGCTTTGGTGAGCTCCGAACTGAAGAGCCTGGCCCTTGCACCTTGTGCTTCCCAAGGTGACCCGGTGTGTGGCATGCAGCCGGGAAGAGCCCCAGCCCCCCAAAAGGGCTCTTCAGCTCAGCTCTTCTGATCGTGGTGTCCTTCCACAGGTGAGGTAGCTCCCCGCAGCAAGCGGCGGTGTGTGCTGGAAAGGAAGCAGCCGTACAGCGGGGACGAATGGTGCTCGGGACCAGACAGCGAGGAAGACGACAAGCCCATCAGCAGTGCACACAGTGAGTGCCCACCCTCACCCACCCAGCAGCTCAAATAAAGCCAAATCTCTCCGAGTGTGTTGTGGCAGGCCGTTGTGCTGTGAGTGTTGTGGTTTCTTCCACTTCCAGCCACGGCCATGAGTTGAAGCCCGGCTGTTCCTAAAGCCTAGGATGATGTTTTGAAATTTTATAGGTATGAAGGTTTTGTGAGCTTCCACGTCTAGTCGCTTAAATTTCCATCTCTCTGTCCACTAGAGTTCAAGATGTTAGAAAAAAGATGTCTGTTTCTCTTTGGAAGCAGCACTCTCCCTGCTGTGGCAGTTTGATATTGCAGTGAGTCAGCAAATGTGCGTGTTTCGTGAGGGTGTTGGGCAGCAACACATAGGTCTCTCCTGTTTTCTAAATGCATCGAAACTCTCGGATATTTTGCATTTAGGATTCAGCTTACTTTCAATTTGCAGCAGGGAGAATATTTCACAGAATCATGAAATGGCCTGAATGCCTTCAGGCATGGGGCATCCGCAGCTCCTCCGGGCATCGTGTTCCTGCACCTCACTGCCCTCTGAGCGAAGAATTTCCTCCTAATACCCAATCTAGATCCCCCTTCTTTTAGCTTAAACCCATTCCCCCTTGTTCTATCATTAGTCTGCCCACAAAAAAGTCGCTCTTCATATTTTTGTGAGGCCTGTTTAAGTACTGAAAAGGCCACAGGGCAGGGCCTGGTGGCACCCAAGGGCCTGTGGTGGATGTGAAACACAGACGTGTGTGCCACCAAGCTGAGGGGGGCTTTTGTGCCATCTTCTCCAAGATGTTTCCCCAAACCACTTCTCCCAGTGGGTTGGAGGGATCTGTGTCACCCCCCGTCAGGTTTCCAGTGGTGTCTCTGCTCTTCGCTGCTTTGTGACAGGCTGCTGGCGTGCCCGGGGGTCTGCAGGGAGGGCCCTGGTGAAAGGAGAGCGTGTGTGTATGGAGCCATGCGAGAGGACAGCCATGAATGGTGCTTATTAATATGAATTAGGAATATTGTTTAACGATTGATGATGATTAATGATTAGCACTGGCAAAAAGCAGCCCTTCCTTCCTCTGCTCACCCATGTGTCTCTCACTACGGCCGTGGGAAGGGAGCTGAGGTGAGCCCGACCCCTCGCCCTGAGGTGAAGGGGAGACCCAAACTGGGCTCCTGGGGTGCTTGGGGACACCCCCACGCCTGGGCCTGCTGGGTGGGTGCTGCCATCTGCCGGTGTCAGGAGCTCAGGGTGCCGGGCCCTTGGCTTCTCCTCTGTGACTCTAGAAGAGAAGCGCCCTGACACCGAGAGGCATTTTCATGCCCGGCTCTGCAGTGGCGTGGCCTTTACGCAGAGACTGATCCCTCTGCTGTGGCTGAGGGCTGCTGCTCCAGCCTTCCTCCTGCCCTGCACCCCCTTTGTTAATTCTCCTGGTGCAGACAACGGTGCCATTTGGCAAGGACTGCCCTGGTTCCCTTGCTGTGCTGGCTTTACTAACTCGACTCCTGTGCTCCCGCAGATTGTAATGTAGCAGACCCTGCGATGTCCACAGCCTCGCAGCTTGGCCCAGGGTCCAACCCGTTGCCAAACCTGAACGAGACCAGTTCTTCCAGCACGCCTCATGGTGCTGCCCCGGGCTTACGGTCGGACGGTGCAGGAGGAGGAGGCAGCGGAGCAGGAAAGCAGCCCTCGCAGTTCGTTTACGTCTTCACAACGCACCTTGCTAACACGTAAGCAGGAAACCCTGGTACCTTCCACTCCTGTGGGACTGGCCTGGCACAGCAGCCTGCTGTGTGCTGCACTTGACTCCAGGAGGGCTGGAGAAACGTGTCTGGCTCTGTTCAGTTACGCAGAGTGGGTCCCTGCTGGGGACCTGGAAGCCCTGCTGGGGTTCAGGAAGTTTGCTGGCAGCTACTGCTCATGGGCAAACTTTGCCTTCTGTGCACACTTCCTCTCAGCAGCGTCTAGCGCTGCTTTCTGTGATGTTCACCGTAGAGTATATCTAGTCAGCATCTAACCGAAGCTTTGCCCAAAGCAGTGTGAGCTGCTGAACTGATTCAGGGGGTTGGGGTGTCACAGGGAGTGCCATGCAACACTCGGTGTTCGCCACTCGTTTCCTCACCTCTGTCCTGCGTTACCTCAGCCGCGGAGTCCAGCTTGTTAGATCACAGATTCTGTGTGGTAGATCCCAGAGCATTTTGGCAACAAGCCACCCTTAAGGCAGCGTGGAACAACAGGCACAAAGCAGAGCAGAGGGCCCAGCACAGCACATGGGAAGATGCAAAGTCCAAGGCAAGTGGTCTTCAGTGAGGGAACCTCACCGTGGCCTGTGCAGGACAGGTGGGGGGACTCTGAGCTTATCCCTCCTACTCATTTGCCTCCTAAGATTTCCCTGTAGGGCTGAAGAGAGGCGGTGGCACCAGGGGCCTGGGATGGGGCTCAATGTCTGACCTTGGGCGGTTGGTTCTCTCTCCCCAGAGCTGCGGAAGCTGTCTTGCAGGGCCGAGCTGACTCCATTCTGGCCTATCATCAGCAAAACGTCCCGCGGGCAAAGTTAGACCAGGTATACCAACTGTGGACCAAACGCTCCTGTTGGCATGTGCTGCTGACCCTTCCCTTCTGATATGGCCATTTCTCCCAGCTCCTGACTCAGCTGTGAAGGAAGGGGGGCGTCAGAATTCCCTTTCAGTGGTGTGGGAAGCTGCTTTTCTCTGAAACCTCTTCAGAGTGAGTCCTGGTTGCTGTAAGCTGTGAAGAGTTTGGGATGGGGCATGGTGTGTGGCCCTGCAGCCACGCTGGCAGAACACATAACTGTGGATTTCTAGAGCATGCGATAGGGCCTGCTTCTTCCCCACGAGGAATGAAGGCAGAGCAGCCGTGCGGCATGTTTCTGGGACAGCGTAGTCTCCTTTAGAGGGTATGGGGAAAACCATGCACAGTTTTTTTTTCCTGCTCACTTTGGCTTCCCTTTTCTTTACCAGGCGCCAGCTCACAAAGTGCTGGGGGTTGCTGAGCAGCCTCCGATGAACCCTCCTGCTGCCAACACTCCACAGACCCAGCCACCAGCACCTCAAGCTAGCCAGCCACAGCCTCCCCCACCGCAGCCTCCTCCTCCGCCTCAGTCCATCGGTCAAACAGCTTTGCCTGCGCCCAGCAGCCTGCCCCAGGAAGGGACAAGCGAAGATGTCCGGAGAGATCTGACTCCCAACTCTCTGGGAAACAACAGTGCCAGCAACCAGCCCGGGAATAACCACCCCAATACGCCCACTGCATCTGCCAACACCATGCAGCCTGGGCAAGTGGACTCGGCTACACCCAGCTCCAGCCTCCTCGGGGAGGGCCCAGGCTCAGGGATGCAGGGGAACGGGCAGGCAGGCCTGGGCCCCAGAAACCCTATGAACTCCGAGGGGCTCTCGAAGGAGCAGCTGGAGCACCGCGAGCGCTCTCTGCAGACCCTGCGGGACATTGAGCGCCTGCTGCTGCGCAGTGGGGAGGCTGAGCCCTTCCTGAAGTCCGGCCAAACCACAGGGGAGGGTGGCACTGCCCCTCAGCCCCAGGCTGCCCCTGCCCAGCCTCCTGTACCCCCTGCCAGCATGAAGAAGTACGAAGAGCCTCTGCAGTCCATGATTTCCCAGACCCAGAGCCTCGGTGGCCCCAGCCTGGAGCATGAGGTACCCCACCATCCGGGCACTGACATGGGGCAGCAGATGAACATGATGATGCAGCGGCTGAACCAGGACAGCCTGACACCGGAGCAAGTCGCCTGGAGGAAGCTGCAGGAAGAGTACTACGAGGAGAAGCGCCGGAAAGAGGAGCAGATCAGCATCCACGGGCGGCCCATGCAGGAGATCATGATTCCACAGTCTATGGGCAGCATGATGATGCGTGGGCCCCCGCCACCTTACCACAGCAAGCCTGGGGAGCAGTGGCCACCAGGGATGGGCGGCCAGCTGCGGGGTCCTATAGACGTGCAGGACCCTATGCAGCTAAGGGGAGGGCCGCCCTTCCCAGGGCCACGATTCCCTGGAAATCAAATGCAGAGAGTCTCTGGCTTTGGAGGGATGCAGAACATGTCCTTGGATGCTCTTGGGCCCATGAATGCTATGCAGAGGCCGGTCAGGCCTGGCATGGGATGGAGCGATGATCTGCCTCCTATGGGAGGCCCTGGGAACTTTCCGCAAGGCTCCCTGCCGTACCCATCGGGGCAAGGGGACCCTGAAAGGTTCATGAATCCCCGTGCCAGGGAGGAGATCCTGAGGCACCAGCTGATGGAGAAACGCCCGGTCGCAATGCAGAGGCCCATGGGGATGTCCAGCAACTCCATGGGCCAGGGGATGGAGATGGAGAGGATGATACAGGCTCACAGGCAGATGGATCAATCCATGTTTGCTGGGCAGATAACGGGGGACAGCCTGAGCAGTGCCCCCATGGGAATGGATTTTGCAGGCACGCGGGGGATGCTGAGCCCCCCTATGAGCCAGTCGGGCCTTCGGGACATGGATGCACCCATGGGCCCCGGCAACCTCAACATGAACATGAATGTCAACATGAACATGAACATGAACCTCAACGTGCAGATGACCCCCCAGCAGCAGATGATGATGTCGCAGAAGATGAGGGGCCCTGACATGATGGCCCACCAGGGCATGAGCCCCGAGGAGCTGGCCAGGGTGAGGGCTCAGAACGGCAACGGCAACGCCATGCTGGGGGGGGCGCAGAAAATGGTGATTCCCTCCCAGTTCCCCAGCCAAGGACAACAAGGCTTCTCAGGCGGGCAAGGACCTTACCCCAACATGTCCCAGGAGATGGGCAGCACCTCAGACATGTTCAGCCCTGAGCAGGGCACCATGCCCGTGGGGAGCATCAGCGGCACCACCAGACTCAGCCACATCCCTCTGCCTCCAGCCACCAATCCTACACCCGCACAAGGGGGCAACTTGGCCAACATGCATCCAGCACCTTCCCGGGGGCTGGGCCGCCGGCCCTCTGACCTCACCATCAACATCAGCCAGATGAATTCCCCCAGCATGGGGCACCTCAAGTCCCCCACCCTCAGCCAAGTGCATTCACCGCTGGTCACTTCCCCTTCTGCCAACCTCAAGTCCCCGCAGACGCCCTCACAGATGGTCAGCATGCCACCTTCTAACCAGTCTGGACCCCTTAAGTCCCCCCAGGTGATGAGCTCCTCACTTAACGTCCGGTCCCCCACGGGCTCACCGAGCCGCCTGAAGTCCCCCTCCATGGCTGTTCCTTCCCCCGGCTGGGTGCCGTCTCCCAAAGCCACGCTGCCCAGCCCAGGAGTCACCCAGAGCAAGCAGCCGCTCAGCATGAACTCCTCTGCTTCCATGGCAGGACTGGATCAGGGTACGTTGCTGTCTTGTGTGGGAGTGTGCGTGGTTTTGGCGGGTGTGTGGACGTCCCAGGTGCTGGAGCATGAGCCTCCTCTGAGGCTGGAGGGCTCCGGGCCTTGCCAGCTGTCTTGCAGCCTTCTCTGACGGCTGCCATCCTAAGGAGGGGATGGGGTTGCTGTCTGACAGGAGGAAGCCCCAGCACGTGGGCAGTACTGAGCCGTCTCTTTCTTGCTTGCAGGTTCTCTCCCTTCTGGGCCCAGGAGCAGTTCTTCGGCACCAGCCAGTAACCAGCCAGCCTCCAGCACCATGAACCCCAATATGCCTTTTACTTCCTCCCCGGATCCATCGCCCTCCCAGAACCCCCTTTCCCTGATGATGTCTCAGATGTCCAAGTATGCTATGCCCAGCTCCACGCCTCTTTACCACAATGCCATCAAAACCATTGCCACCTCTGACGACGAGCTGCTGCCAGACAGGCCTATGCTTCCCCCGGGGAGCATGTCAGGTACGTATCTGCAGGGGGGATGGCCTTTGGGGGGACGAGGGATGTTGCTGTCCACAGGTCTGATGGGCTGGATGAGCTGGAAGAGAGCAGTTGTACAGCTGAAGCAGGCAATAAAAAGTTGTGTTCCCTCTTCTGCAGCAAGACAAGGTCACTCGGCCCCAGGCTTGGGGGTCTGGTGGTTGTGAGCAGAGCCAGGTGCCTGCACGAGCAAGGCTCTGGCTCAGCACAGTTGTGATTTCAGTAAGCAGCAGCCAGACATGCTTCACTAGCTGGTGGCACCGATGAGGACAGCTAGACAAATGGTTGGCTTTCGTCATCTGGTGACCAGCGTGCAAGGGAAGGGGAATTCCAGCAGGCTGTACCACTTGGTGTTGGAGTTTAAAGCTGTCTGGTAAATATTTTTGGTGGTTTTCAAAATGAAAAATCAACGTGTTGACTCTTTGCTAAGAAGTTACTTAGCTTGACCGCAGGCATGCAAATGCATGTGCTGCCTCTGAAACTGAACCCCTCTGCAAACCCTGTTCGCTCTGCTGTATCGATGAACACATTCCTCCCTCCTGGACAGCGCTTGTGTTGGGCAGCCAACGCTTGTCTTGTTCCTCCTTGCCACCACCCAGCAGTGTGTGGTCACAGGAGCTTGCTGGAAGGCTGGGCAGTGGTGCAGGGTCACTCCTCCATGCCTTCCAGGCACCCTGCTGAGATCCTGGTGTCCCCACAGAGCTGTTTCAACACGCCGAGCCATCTGGGACTATAAAATTAGCAGGCCATAAGAACTACAAATCCACATGAATTGCAGCTGTGTGTTCTGTTAACATCCCTGGAACCAAGCTGCTCCCAGCCAGGCCTTGCCATATCACCTGTCTCTCCGGCAGGAGCTTCTTGTGGTGGCCAAGTCCTGGCTGACAGCATTGCAGTGGCCAAAATTGAAATCGTTCTCTGCTGTTCCTGGGCTTAGGGAGCTGGATTTGGAGCGCTTCTTTCTGATGTTGATGCTTTGCGTTCTTCTTGCATCCCCTTGCTTGGGGCTTTCGGAGCAGGAGAGCAAAGCAAGCTCACACAGGGTGTGGATTTCACAGCCTGGAGAGGTGTGTGGGCAGAGTTAACTCCCTTCTCATTTTCTTTCTCCTCCTTAGGTGTGACAGGGAATCAGACAAATCAACTGCACTTAAACTCCGTGGGACCTGGATCTTCTCAGAGCCCCATGGGAATGAACCTGCCTGGTCAGCAGCCCCTCTCCCACGAACCACCCCCTACCTCCATGATGTCCTCCCCAAACCCTCTGGGCTCCAACATTCCTATGCACCCAAGTGCACCGGGGGCAGGCGTCCCCCCCCCGAACCCCATGATGCTGCCCCCGGGGCCCCAGGACTCGCTGAACCAGCAGTGCGGCCCCGTGCCAAACAGCTCGCAGATGATTCCTTCCAACCAGCTCGTGTTCCCCCGCATGCAGCAGCCCCACAACGCCATGCAGTCTCCTGCAGGAGGCATGCCCATGGTCCCCGGCGGGGCAGGCGGCCCCGGCATGCAGCAGCATTACCCCCCGGGGATGCCCTTGCCACCCGACGACCTTCCTGCCCAGCAGCCCGGCCAGATGCCCCCTCAGCAGCACATCATGGGCAAGAACATCCCTCCTCGGATCGGCGAGACCTACCCTGCCGTGCTCCCCGGGGTGGCATCGGTGCTGAACGACCCCGAGCTCAGCGAGGTCATCCGCCCCACGCCCACCGGCATCCCCGAATTCGACCTCTCCAGGATCATCCCCTCGGAGAAGCCAAGCAGCACCTTGCAGTATTTCCCCAAAAGCGACAGCCAAGCACCCAAATCGCAGCCTTCCAACCTCCACCTCATGAACCTGCAGAACATGATGGCTGAGCAGCCCCCCGTGCGGCCAGGTATGAACGCCCCCAGCCTCCCGGGGCAGCAGGGCGTGCAGCGGGGACTCGGCATGCCCATGTGCCATCCCGGACAAGTGCCCATGCTGGGCAGGACAGGCATCCCGCCCCAGCAGGGTATGATGGGCAACAGCATGCACCAGGGCATGATGTCTCCGCAGCAGAGCCTGATGGCCCAGCAGAATTTCATGCTGATGCAGGCCAAGCAGAGGAGCATGTCCGTGTCGGGGGAGATGTACGCCCAGACGGGACACATGATGTCACCTCAGGGCTCGCTCATGGGGCCCCCGCCGCAGCAGAACCTAATGGTCACGCACCAGATGAGGCAGAGGAGTGTCTCCCTGGACAGCCAAATGAGTTACATCCCCGGGCCGGGGAACATGGCAAACCTGCCTTTCTGAGCACGGGGGGGCCGGGTTGTACAGATGTTTTTAAACCTTTCGTCGGGGGTGGGTTGGGGCCAACGCCAGTGGAGGACACCAAGTGGGATGCTTTTCATATCGGATTTGCCTCTCTACAGAAAACCACATGTGCAGTAAACTTGATGTGAATTGTTCTTTTTTTTTTCTTCTTTTCTTTTTTTTTTTTTTCCTCCTTTTTTTTTGAGGGGAAAGGGGAGGGTGGAGGGACTGGGAGTGGGAGTGGGGCTGTTAATTTTGAACCCTGTGTGTTGTCCAGGGACTTCCAGACCCTGTGGCAGTTTGTAAAGTTTTCATTTATCATTTTCCTCCTTCAAGTGTTTTTCTTTCTTTTTTTTTTTTTTTTATTTTTTCCTTCTCTCTCCTTTTTTTCCTTTTTTCCTTTTTGTTTTTTTTTTCCTTTAAAGCAACCAAAATGCGCAAGAGGGTTTTTGGAACTAGCTGTAAATAGGTCGCTGAGAAAGGCAAAACTTGTGCTGGTTTTTAATTGTTCTGTATTTCTGTGTTTTAATAGAAGCCTCAAAACATGTTTTAAAAAAAAAAAAAAAAAAAAAAGAACAAAAAACATGCTGAAGGCAACAGTGTACAAGGATTGAAAGCTCTCCTGGGGGGAGGCAGGAGGATCCCCCAGGGTGCACAGGGCGTCGAGAGATTTCATTATAGAGTGACTCTTTGTCAAACCTGTGTCATTCATGCGTTGGAGCAGTTTGCATGTGCAGGTTGTACGGTTTCACGCAGATCTTAGGCCCCTGTGGAGTCTGTGCTGAGCACCAGAACACAACCAGTGACTGAGGACCACTGGGGAGGTCGGAGCTGTGGCCCCAGCCACTGGAGCAGCGCTCAGCTGGCCGGGCAGAGGCCTCAGCCTCTCGGGATCCCGCTGGCACTGCTCCACGGGGATGCTGCTTTGGCTGTGAAAGCTGGGTTGCTCCTCCCGGTGCTTCCCGGAGAGGCCAGCCAGGAGCCCTGCCCTTTCGCAGCCTTCCTCCACCAGTCCTTCACCCACCCATCGTCCGCCGTGATCACAACGTGTCCCCTCTACCTCTGCTGTTGAATGGTCTCCCAGGTCTTCCTTCCCCATCACACTTGCCTGTGCTCCTCATCCGGGCTTTCAGAGGCAGTTTTTGTCCCATCTTGCCCCGAGCTCCCTGTTGCAGCCCCGCCGTACTGCACTGTAGAGGGCCAGCTGGTGCGGGTGAGCTGTCCCTGCACGCAATACTCAGCTCAGAAGCAGAGTTGTCTTGCATGGTGTCAGCTGTGTGGCTGCTGCGTGTCACGGGCTGCTCTGCGTTTCTGATCTCAGAGGCTGAGGTTCTTATCCCGAGGCTGACGGAAGCCATTTGAACAACTCAGGCTTTTCTGGATGCGCTTCGCCCTCCCATCCTCCGTTCTGTAAGGTCTTCCTGCACATGGCACCAGTGTTTTTTTTTCCTGTGTCTGTCCACTGAAGGGACTGTGGGGTTAAGCACATGCACTTCTGTACACACAGGATCTCTGGATCTCTGCAGGGACCACGTTCCAGCATGGTGAACCCTATGGGTATCCCACTGTGAACTCAGGGCACTCGATTGCCACACGAACACCAGCTGGAGGATTATCTCTGCAAAGCCAGACTCAGCATACTACCTCTCTTGTAACAGCGCTCACCTTTCCCTACTTGAAACCGCAGGGAGGAGAAGGCTTTCAGAAGGGGAGGTCGTCAAGTAGAGAGGGATTGGCAAAGCTTTTTATTGTGTTGCAAGCTGTTAGAAAAGACCGGCAGGTGGTGAAATGTCACTCCAGTGTCTGCGTTGATTGGATCTGTAACGAGATTTAGCCACAAAGTCTGATCAGGAATACCCTGACGTGTTGGGGTATTTGTAGAGTGCGGTACTAGGTTGGAAGTGTGGGTCTGGATCTGAGGAAGAACTTCACTCTGGTCTCCTGCTTCGTGGTGTTTAAGATCTGACCGAGCATTGCTTTAAAAAAGTGGCAAACCAGGAACAATCCTGGAAAGTGCTCGTCCCTGCCTTGGCAGTTAGGGCAAAGAGGAATCGTCTTCAACCTGGGCTAAGTAAGTGTGCTTTGGACCTGACATTGTAGCTGCTTGGATTCTCCATCCTCTCAGGGTGTGTGTTTCACCTGGGAGGATGTGGCTCGAGCAGATGCAGCTTTTTCTTAGCTTGACTAGCCTGAAAGGCTGTGGCTTCCCTTGGCTGCACTTTGGGGTGTTGGCTGCTGGTATTTTCTCGTAAACACCCAAATACCAACGCCATCCCCGAACCTTGCTCATCACCCACCAGCTAGTCTCGGTTAATTTAAAGCCATAATATTTTTTATATATATATTAAAAAAAAAAAAAGCTTTTTTTTGTTTGTCTGTAGACAGCTGTTCTTTCGGTCCAGTTAAGATCTCTGCCTGTCAGTACCTCCCCTGTCGTCCCCTCCACCCAGCCCAACTCAGAAGTTGCCTGGGACTCCCCGCGTCCCCCTGTCAGCAGCACCTTGTCCCTGTGTCCTCCGCAGCACTGGAGAAGCCACCGCTGCCCGCACGTGGGCAGCCTGATGGCAGGAGGAAGACCTGTCCTTGGGTGATAAATTACTAGGAAGCAAACCCTTTCGACTCAGCATACAAAAGGGAAATCCTGGCATTATTCCAGCTGCGGGCTGTGGGTTTCAGAGCAGCACTCGGGGGGCTCTTCCTCAAAACCCCCCTGCCCTGAAGCCAGCCAGCCCTACCCTGACTGCTGTGACGGGGGAACCACAGGGAGACGAGGTGCACAGCACCTTCTGCCTGGGCACTGCTCCTCGCTGTGCCCGAGCTCAGCACTTCTGGCAGGAGCTTCTCTGGAAGCGAAGTAACAGCAAGTCCTCGTTAGACCTGGGCAGAGTGTGCCATCGGCCGGCTACCCGCTGCTGTGAGCTGTGTCTAGTCTCGTGTCTTGTCGTTTATTGCTCGGCTTCCCAGCTTGAGTTCTGTGTACTGACTCCACCTAATCACGGTAAAAGGTTTGCCCATGTTTTAGCCATGACTTCGCAATGTTGTTTTTTTTTCTGGCTCTGAAAAGTAAACGTTGGGAAACAGCATCTTTCAGTACATCAGTAATCACACACCTGGAATTAGCTTTCACATTGAGGTAATGGTGACTGACCTGTTCTCTGTCATCCCATGGAGAAACTTCCCCAGTCATTTTGTACCATTATATAAATATATATATAAATATAAATATATAAATACAATATGTGAAGACATCTTATTGGTTTTTATTTGAAACAATTTTTAGGCTTGTTTTTGGGTATCTGTGCTGCCTGTAATGTATTGACCTGTTTTATAGGTGCCTTTTTATTAAAAAGACAAATTTCAAAACCTGACCTTGTGCCTGTCTTCGATGGTCTGTGTGATGTTCTGCAGGTGTGCACAGCGTGGTGGTGCCTGCAGGAGCTTGGCTAATGTCCCCGGTGGCAGGTTGGTGCTGATGAGGGAGCCCAGCTGGACGTCAGGAATTGGTTCTTCACAGAGAGGGTGGTTGTGCACTGGGACAGGCTCCCCAGGGACGTAGTCACTGCACCAAACCTGCCTGAATTTAAAAAGCGATCGGACTGTGCACTTAGGCACATGGTCTGAATTTCTGGGTAGACCTGTGTGGTGCCAGGAGTTGGGCTTGATGATCCTTATGGGTCCCTTCCAAGTCGATATTCTCTGATTTTTACGATCTCTATGTCCAGAGCCAGGCTGAGGAAGATGCGCAAGTCAGCAGCGCGGATGCTGAAATGCTCGAGCATTTGTGTCCCGCTGGGAGATTGGGGAAAGGCCGTAGGTTGTTGTTTCGATAAGGAAAATGAAACTCGGTGTGAGCTGCAGCAGGCAGGGGCGTTGGGGCTGTGCAGGGCTGTGGGGAGAGCCCCGGCTCTGCAGCGCTCCCAGGCACGCGGCCACTCATGCGTTCCCCACCTCGTGCCTGGTGCTGTGCGCTCCGCTGCCTGCCACAGCCTCGGGGCCGCTGTGCACAGCGGGGGCTCTGCTAACTAAAACAACCCAGCTGCAGTTCCTGGGCAGCTCGGGCACCCCGTAGGAAGGAGGGAGCAGCACGTTGCTCTGGGAGCTGTTCCGTGGCCCCTTTGGTGAGCACCGGGGCTGCTTGTGGGCTGTCTGCTCCCTCCTCTCGCTGCATGCCCAGCTCAGCTGTCATCGTGAGAGGAAGCAGGGCAACTGAAACAGCAGCTGGCTGGATGCAGTGGGGATGGAAAGTGGCAGGGGACAGCCCAGCCATGGCAGAGGTTGCTCTGGGTTCTCCCTCCCCAGCTCTGTCTGGCTCCCAGGCCCTCCCGTGCGGGTTGCTGCAGGAGCAGCGTCCACCCTCGGTGTCTGCCAGCTCTTTGCGAGCTCGTGGGTCCCTGCACAAGGGGGGACGCGTGGCAGGAACGTGCCATCAGCCCACTCCGTTTGCAGGTGCATTTCCCTTCTGGACGTGACACAAATGCAGGCAAACGCTTACAAGCACCATATGTGGGAAGAGAGAGTACTTTATTTGTTTGTTACAGCTCTCGTAAACTTTCAAGAAGTTTAACGCCACGAACACCACAGTAACGATAGATGCGTAATCTGTTCACCCAGGTTTTGTGTGTAGATTTTGCTTTTACTCTGTGAATGCTGTAAGGGTTTACACTCTGCTCAATTCCTCAGCAATGGTTGTGTAAGGACCCACAGGCTGGGGCTAGGGAGGTGTTTACAACACGTCTGCACGGCTTCGTTCGCTGGTACAGCTGTGGAGGTAGCAAGGGCAGGCTTCAAAGAGCAGCTCTTCCTCTGCTGTTCGTGCTTGGACAGCCACAGTCACCATTACCTGAAGGTTTCAGCTTCAAAGATGCAGCGCTGCAGGAAATGGGGACTGCTCTTTCTATCAAGGCCTCGCATTTGGGGAGTTTTCTTGTCATGTCGGAAGCTGCAGACAACTTATTCAGATCTCTGCCTGAGCTGGACTAGGCTGAAGTGACCCATTCCTTAACGATGGCTCTTTGCAGCGTGGCCCTTGGCTGTGGTGAGGTTAGGTTGTCACTGAGCTTTTTGTTAGGGGATTGAACTTCAGAAGGGATTTTAGCACAAAATCCCCGCTGCAGCAGTAGCACTGCCATTGCTCCGACTTTGCATAAGCAGTGAGGTGAGTGGTACAGCCGATTTTAATGTGTGCTGGTGGCTAGGGTCGTTCCCGTGTGACAGTTTGTGTGTGTGGCTGTCACTCCGTTTAGGCCAAAGTGGTGTTTAGCTAATTACAGAAACGTCCCGAAGCAATGCTGTGTGTGCTGACACCTTCCTGGGACAAGGCCTACGAGGGAACAGCGAGCTGCACCAGTCTGTTGGGCTGCCCTACGTGCTTGTTGTGCTGCACTAACGAGCTGCCACTCTCGTTTTGGACCGGCTTGTTCCTGAGAAGCCCTGATCCAGGCGGTTGCTGGATACTCCTGGTTCAAGGCAAAATCAATGCTCAGGTTTGTTCTGTGCAAACCTTGATGCACTCAGTGACCAAAGGCTCCAGGCATGCAGGTAGAGCAAGAGTATCTGAAAGCACAGCGCTAAGCAAAACGGCACGTTCCCATTCGGCCTGCTAAAACCAAATAGAAATCATGCAAATTAGCTCTTCCTTCCGTGTTCTACCTTACGCTGAGGTAATGGGTCTCCTCCTTTCAGAACACACAAAGCACTGCACAACCACTTGCAAAAAAAAAAATAAGTGACACCTTCAGCCTCCTAAAGACGTAGTTCGTCCTCTCTGTGCTCAGTCACAAGGCTGAAGCCATCTGTCCGGACAGTCACCTGCCTTAAAAGAAAGCTTTGGAATTTTGCTTGCATCCCTCACTCTGCCTGCCGTGGTAATTGAGTCCCACTGCTTCCTTTGGGCATGTCCAGTGACCTGAGCAGGTGAAACAGGAGCTGGCTTCATCTTTGTCCTCAGTGCTTGCTCCCTGACGTGACTCCACCTTGACTTGGCTGTGCTTTTTTTTCCTACCCCCTGGCAACCCCGTCCTGTGTCTGGCTGTGCACGGGACACCCGCAGTCAATTGTTTTTGGGGGAGGTGTGGTGGTGTCAGGTTCAACCTGCCTGCATTCATCCGGCCCTGTCAGTGCCCATCAGGCGTTTGCCAGCAGCTGCCAGGCAGATTTCGGAATGGATGTGAAACAGAAGGATCCAGGGAAGGAATCTGGTGGGATTTGGGTGTTAGATGGCTGTCAGAGCTCAGCTTCCTGAGGAGTAAAGAGAATGGTGGGGACACTTGTGAAACTTAGGACTGAGGCCACAGCACGTGTGCCACCGCACGGGCACACCAGAGGTCATTTCTGCCCCGCGGCAGCCTGAGTTAGAAAGTGGAGATGGAGGTGGTGTTGTCAGACTCGATTCCACTGCCCTTCCTGGTCACCTCCAGGATCTCCTGCAGGGTCTCCTGGCTTATGCAGCCAAGCTCCTGCAGGATGCGGAAGAAGTCGTTACGGAACTTGACCCCGATGAAGGCGTAGAGGATGGGGTTGAGGCAGCAGTGTGTGAAGCCGATGGCCTCTGTCACCATGATGGCCGTGTCCAGCTGGTCCTCCAGGAGGCAGTTCTTGGTGAAGGCTTCCAGCTTGGTGAGGGTGTTGAGAAAGATGACGATGTGGTAGGGGCTCCAGCAGAGCAGGAACACGCCCGTGACCAGGATGGCCACACGGACGGCTTTTTGTCTCTGCAGGCGTTGGGACTGGCACAGGGTCCGGACGATGGCCATGTAGCAGTAACACATCACCAGCAGGGGCACGAAGAAACCCACGGTGTGGTACAGGAACCGGGTTGCCAGCCACGCGTTGTTGCCGTGAATCCCAATCTCGGGGAAATAGCAAATGCTGCGGTTGCTCTCATCTGTCCAGACCTCCATGAAGATGAGATCGGGTAAGGTCAAGAGCAAGGAACAGAGCCAGACGGCCGTGCAGGTGAGGTGGATGGAGCGAGCCCTGCGCTTGCGGTAGGTGTGGATGGCGTAAACGATGGCCAGGTAGCGGTCCACCGCGATGCACCCCAGCAGCATGCTGCTGCAGTAGAAATTGATCTTGTGGACGGCGCTGAGGATCTTGCAGAGGAAAGTCCCAAATACCCACCCGGCCAAGCTCTCCACCACGCTGAACGGGAAGGTGAGCAGCAGCGCCAGGTTGGCCAGGGTGAGGTGGAAGAGGAAGTTTTCCGTGGTTGTGCGCGACCGCTTGAACCTCTCCAAAATGACCAGGACCAGGGCATTGCCCACAGTTCCCAGCACAAACATAAGCAGGTAGATGAGGGGCATGAAGACCTTCCTGAACGGGTCTCGCTGGTTGCCGACCACAGATGAGGCCGGATTGAAGCAGAAGTAGCCCTCCAAAGACGGGGTTGTGTTATCAGCCTCGTAGTAACCGCTCAGCTCCGCCTGGCTCTGGGGAACAGAGAGAATCTGGTTACAGGGGGGCAGTTTCATGGCTGGGGTCCCAGGAGAGACAGCAGCATGGGGAGAGGCTGTCCTGACCCCTTTATGTACCGACCCCATTCCCTTCAGCCCTTTCCTGATAGGAAGGGGGTTTCACTGCTCGTTTTTCTTGCCCTCCTGATGCCTCCACTTCTGGAGTGCAGCTGAGCAGCCGTAGCACAAGGATTTGGGGCAGCCTCCCGTGTGCTCTGCTGCTGGCCCCATTGCAGCTGCTGCTTTACTGGTTTCTGACCGCAGCCATGCTCTGAGCCTGGAGACCTTGGAGCCATCTGGGGCAGCGTCCACCGAGCAAGGCGAAGTGGGACAGCAACAGCCAGGGCTGGGCATCGCTTAACAGGCACTCAGAGAAAGTTCTGGGGCAGGTGTGAGGAGTGAACGCATCGGAGGCAGCGGGGTGCCACAGCCACAGCGATTGTGCTGGAAAGAGAAATCTGGTCTGTTGGTAAACCTTGTGGTTCCGAATTAATCGCAGTCAAAGCCAGAAAGGGAATCTGAGAAATGCCACTCAGACCCCGGGCTGATACCTGGTGAGGAAAGTGTGGCAGAGCCACCGCAGATGGTGGGCACGCGCTGTCTGCAGGCACTTTGGCAGGAGCTGGGTGCTAACAGCAGCACAGGGCTCAGATGCAGGCTGTCACAGAAAAAGAGCAGCCTGGGAGGCTTGTGGCAAGCTCAGAAATCCGTGACAAAACGGGAAGAGCCCTGCAGCAGTAGTTGTGCACTCCCCCACCCACACCCTCTCTGGAGACCAGCACCGAGACTTCAGTGTCAACCACAGCGGAAGCCCCTGCTCGCTGCTTTCATACCTTTCACTGCCAGCTGTAGCCGTTTGCACCTGCTGCTCCTTCCCTCATCAGCCAAAGTTCCCAGCTAAAAATACTGGCCCTGCTTTAAACAGCTTTAGATCTTTTTTTTTTTTTTTTTTTTTTGTCCACTCCCCCCCTTCCCCTGCGTGTGCTCCGAAGCCAAGTGACTGCAAATATTCTCAACTTGTGTTATAATGAGCTGGAAAGGGTGACCGGGTTTCTTCTCTGTTAAAAGCCTCCTCTGCTGATGTGCTGTGTGCCTCTGCAAGCAGCCGGCTGGGGGCAAAGAGCTGATGTGGCAGCGCTCAACTCGAAGTGCTGTGCTGCTGAAACCACTTCCATGGCTTTACGGGTGCAGTGAAGGGTCTTTCTTTCAAGGGTCCCCTTCCCGGCCAGCTCCGTGCCCCCCATGCTGTTTCTGTGCTGTGATGTTTCTCCCAAAGGCGCTGAGAGCTGGCTCCCTCGGGGGCCAGCAGTCGTCTTCCCTGCCCAAAACCTCACCCGCACAAAGCTGTCTTCACCTAATGTAACAGCGGGACTGCAGCCTTGGAACATGAACATCGCTCGCCCAAAGAGTAATTATTTTTCTGGTTTCTGGTATGAGACTGGAGGTTGCTACTGAAGAAAGAAAGAAAACCTCCTAAGAAAGAAAACCAAAGGAAGAACCTTTGCAGTTTGGCACAGTGACCAAACAGGGCTGCTCTGGATCCCGTGGTGACCTTGCTGGAAAAACCCAAAGGGAATGCGAATAACTTAGCTGGGGAGAGGCTGAACAGTTCTGGTTTTAAAGGGAAAAAGGAAAGGAGGGGAAGTGGCTGGGTCCACGGGCTGGAGCACAGCCTGGGGCCACGCCAGCACTGCCAGTGCCTCCAGGTGGGTGGCGGGTGCGGTGCTGAACGGCTTTGGCTGCAGAACGGTTTCCAGCATCACCTTAGAGCTGGAGCCGGAGGTGCAGAGGCCACTATCAGCCACCATCTGATCGCAGATAAGGTGGCAGGTAGGGCTCTTACTGTAAGCCACTCGCTGCGGGCAGAGGAAGCGTGCACAGAGCTGTGTCTCAGGCGTCCTCTCATGTGCATCTCCGAGCACCGAGTGTGGGTGGGAGCGGACAGAGATGAGTTGAAGATGAATAGAAAAGGATGAAAAGGCAGAGTCCAGGCTGAGACGGGAAGGGCAGGGAGCAGAGCTGTAGGAGATGCCCTGAATGACGAGCCAGGGCTTTTGGGGACTCTGCTGTGACTTCCATTTCCAGACTGGGAGCGGGTGGCTGCCTGATCTGGGATGGGATGGGTGAATGGGCTGCACGTGGGCATCCTCTGCACAGCTCTCCTGCAATACAGTAAAAGCCCAAGCAACATGTCTGTACTGCAGGGGGAATGTGACAGTAAAGTGGGGAGTTTTTTTTCTGCAACTAAGCAGTAAAATGCACACCTGGGGCCACGGCAGGGGGAGGCACAATCCTGCACTCTATTTGCTTAGGAATCTCTTTTCCCCTCTAACCCACATCTCAAAATTACGCAGGTCTCCTCTGCATGTCAGCTGCTTTTCTCAGTTCCCCACAACTGCCAACAATCACCCATTTGCCTGTAGAAGAGCAGCAGCCCGTACGCTGTTACGGATTTTTCAAGTGACTCATTCCTTTCTAGCCCATCCAGGGCCAGCAGAAGCATATTTCATTCCCAAAACCTTAAAACAGGAATTGCTCGTGTCAGTGTGCAGCTCAGCAAGCTCCTGTGATAGAGTTTCTGCTCATCACCTCTCTGGTGGTTGAACTAGGGAAACCAACGTGTAAGTAAATGTTCCTGTAATGTAGGTGCCTTTTTGCCTCTTGAGACGTGTTGGCCTCATTATAACAAGAATTGGCCTTCGGCACCTTAGGAGACCTCGCAGCAATCTCTGTGGTCTTTCTTCAACTTTTTTTTTTTCCTTTCTTTCTCTAGTTTGCAGCCGAGGAAGGTTAAGTGGGCAAAATTTTCTTGCTATTGAGAATTGGGGCTATAATTTTGGCTACGTTACTTTTCCACAAGGTTACACAGCTAATTGGCCCCATAGGGTAGCAAAGATTAGGTGAAGCTATTGCTGTACTTGCTGGGCAACTACTTAGATAAATGCCCTTTCAGTGCAAATGTCCCAATTGTTTTCATTCTGCATTTGCTCTATCAGTCAACCGGGCCTTTCTTGTTAATGCGGTTTTGTGTCACTGCTTTGCTAGAACAGTGTCGAGGTCTTTTTTTTGCAAATCTCTCTGGACATGTTGATGCAAGCACTAAGCTCACCAATATACGGCATCCCCAGACCGTATGTGACACTGCTTGTGTGCGATCTGTGGTCAGTTCCAGGGAGGAAGAGAAACCTGAGAAGCTCCTAGGAAACGCGTGGCACAAACTCCCAACCACGTGAATTCTGAGAAAAGATAGAAAACTCTTTCTGCTGTGGCATGGGACTGTTCACACTTAGTCCCAAAGCTAGCTGAGTTTCTCCTCTTGTCTGGGGTCTCCTCTGTAACTTAAAATAACTCACAACAGAGGTAAAATTGCTAAGCTAAGGTTCTAAGTTTTGTATCCAAAGAACAAATCCCAGTGCTGTTTAATTTCCCTGCCTTAGAAAACTACGCGCTTTGCCACCAGCAGCTGCTTGCTTGTAGTCAGTGACACAGTGCAGATGGACAGACAGCACGCTTGGATGTGGATGGTTTCCTGGTCATTGGAGAGAGTCCAAGGGAGAGTTCGGATGAAGTAACGAATCAACAAAGCAATGGCAAAGGGAGTTTAGTTTTAACCTCTTAGCAAGCTTCAGTGCTGCCACCGAACTTCAGCAGAGGTCACAGAGGTGCCTTCTGCAAAAACTTGTAAAGGACACGAGCACTATTGGCAATGGGTTTTTAGACTGGATGAACTGAAAAAAATAAGGAGGGTTGGAAATGCCTGTCCCACCCCCAGCCTTCTCTCTCTTCCCATGAAGTATAGGAAAAAGGAGAAAAAGAAAAATAGGTAAAAAATTAAATCCAGCATTTCTCTCTGGAACAGAAAATAAACAAAAACTGAGGTCTACTGCAGAGAGCCTTTGCATTAAAACAGAAATTCTGAGCTGTAACATCTGAAAACCTGGCTAATGCTAGCACTGCTGTGGATACCCCCTTGGATAGCACAATATGCTCTGAAAGGTACAGCTGCTGTATTTCATTTGCAAGCTTAGAGCAGAAAATTTCAGGGCTAAATGTACGGTGTCATCACTCCCAGTTAGAAGAAGTATTTGCAATTTATCTTCTATGCTTTCAAATTCCCCTCCTGTAAATATGCTGTGTATTCCCTTCAGGCAGCCTGTTCATGGAGAAGGCTGGCAGGGGTAGGAATACGTAGTCATGGGAAGGTTTTTCACATGTGGAGAGCACTGGGGCTTGCTTTGGTATTCCTGTTAAAGACACTAGAGGAGAGTCCTAGAGCTTGGCACACTACACACAGTCATCTATACCACGGAAGGTTGGTATAAACGGGCTCTGAACGCCTGCTTTTCACCCACATTGTGTCACCCAGAACGGCTGTGCCAGGAGCGGGGCAGCAAGGGGCAGAGGTGCGTGGGCCGGGCTCTCCAGGCCCTTCTGACAGGAGCTGGGGTTTGGGTGCCCATGAGGGGACAGTGCTGGGGCTCAGTGCCCACCAGAACACCTCAGCTCAAAGTCGCCACCGCTCATCGTGCAGCTTTCTGCATGGGAACACCTTGTGCCCCTGGACTGCAGTGCCCGTGGTGACATTGCACCAGCTCCCCGCAAAGACCCTCATCCCTCCAGTCCAGAATTAAGGGATGCAAGGTCTGCTTGCACGGGTGTAAGTTATTGCTTGGGTCCTCTCCTAATGGGAGGGGTCAGAAGATGGTGACATCGAAGCCAGGTCTCTCAGCCCACCCCAGCTTTACCCGCTCTCCCCAGTTGTCCTCTCAAACAAGCAAAGCCAGGCCCAACTCACCAAGTCATAGGTCTCTGACGAGTAGCTGACAGGCCCCATGGTTTCAGGGGCAGGATCTGCCTCTCCTCCAGCAATTTCGGCACAAGTTCTTTTCTGGGGTGGAGTTAGTCATTTAAGTGAGTAGGGAGGGACCCAGAATGTAACAATAGAGTATTTGCAAGGCAAATGAGCTCCAAGCGAAGAGTGACCTATTTGATGTAAAGACTGGCATCTTGCTCTATCATTTTTTTCTTAAGCGTTTGTTGTAAGTTGATTTTTTTTTTTTATTTTCAAAAAAAAAAACATCGTGAGAGCTTCTGACCATCAGCAAATGTTACCCCCCCAAGTCTGCCCTGCAAGCAGAACAAAAGTATGGTGCAAAATAAGGTGCTGTAGGTGCATTAGGGGCTGCTGAACTTCTCAAATCAGAGGGACATCTGCAGGGTGTGCCTGCAGGGAGACGGAGGTGGGAAGCACCTCGCAGGCTGTTGAGAGGTGGGCTGCAGATGAAGAGGCTCCAGGGAGCCCACTCCAAGGACATAGGCAACAACAAATTCCCTTGTAGACATGTACTGCTGCAGCGTGTGAGTGCTACCACAGAAGACTTACAGGATCCATGTGTTTCTGTGCTGGGAAAGATGACAGAGAGGAGGTTATAGAAGCAAATTAAATGGAGAGAAAAGGAATTTAAATTAAAAATAATGTCACTCCACAGGAGACCGGCAGGTAAGCAACCTAAAAAAATAAAATAAAAAATGAAATTATAACAAGATTCAACAATAAATATTTGAGGACTGCTTTGGTGTCAGTGCATGGCAGTGCCTGTCCAAACTCTGCTACAGGTACACTCTCTGGCTAGCAAACCAGTCTTGTATTATCACCAACACACAATGTTAATTTTTATCAGATATTCTGATAATGGGAAGTTATTCAGCTGTACATAAGGATGATAAAATGCACTACTTGAATATGAAGATGGTTTATTCTGTATAATGACCAAGTATTTCTACTGGCCAGTTTGACACTACACTGACTTTCTTGAATTCTGCTTGAGAAAAGCTAGCTCACTTCTGGCTCCTGAATCCCCTCTCCTCACTTTTCCAGTCACCTCATTTGCTGCTACCATAACTGAAGGTTGGCGACCTCTGCACTGCCTACACACCAGTCAGCTTTACCGATCCGTTAACTGCTGTTGTCATTTGTTCTTTTAGGGTTGGTGCGTGCTATTTCCTGAGCATCTCAGGGTGAAGTGCAATGCCCAGCTCTGCACCCTGCACCGTGACGGGCACCGAGGCTGCCGTGTGGTGGAGCAGGGACCTCGGCAGCAGTGACTGCTGCCTGCCCAGCATGGCACGGGGGATGCAGCTTCTTCATCCCACTCCTGGCACGGGAAGGCACAGGACTCGTATGTTCAGTTTCCTTCTTCTTTTGCCACGCATGGAAGAGAAGTGTGGAAGAAGTGGGGCACAGCAGGAGGGAGAGGGGCTGAAAGGGGAAGCTGAAGCATCCTGTGTGCCTCAGGAGATGACAGCTGATGGGGCAAGGGGTGCTGGCAGCCGCAGCAGGGCAAATAGTTGGGGAATAAATGGAAGGAAGGAGTTTAGTAATGAGGCTTGTTGTCTAGGAGAAGCAGGCAGGGGTGTCTGATTATGCCAGGCCTGATGGAGATGATTGTGCTGTGACAGAAATAATGGATTCCTTTGAAATTAAAGGAAGGAATGACTGCAAGAAGCCTTCCACTACCATTTTCTGTGTCTAAACCCAGTGCTTTGTTGGAGGCTGGACTCCACTTTGGTGCAATTCGGCCAAACACCGCAACCACTCGCCCCCCGGTGGGACGGGTAAAGGCTGTGGGTTGAAATAACGACACTTTATTGGTAATTAAAAGAGTAATAAAAAAACAAACGCAGCGAGCGCCCCGCGCTACCCGGGGCCGCGGCCGCCGCCCAGCGGCAGGGCCGGGCCGCCACAGCCGCGCGGTCACGTGACCGCGGGAGCCCGCCTCCCCCCCCCCACCCGGAGCCCGCGCGCGCGCGCATGCGTGCGTGCGTGCGTGCGCGTGCGCGCGGGGCGGGGCCGTCCCGCCCTGCCCTGCCCTGCCGGGAGGGGGAGGGCGCACGGGAGGAAGGAGGAAGCCGCCATCTTGGAGCGTCGAGTCGCCATAACAAGGCACCAAGCGGCAGCCAGAGGATTTTGTACCTGGGCGAGGGGGAGCGCGGCCGGGGGCGGTGAGCGACGCCGGGGGCTGCCGGGGTGAGAGCGAGCCCGGGGGAGCGGTGAAAAAGGGGGAGCCGCCGTGGTTACCGGGCCGGGCCTGGCCTCGCCTCGCGGCCTGAGGCGCGGCGCGGGAGCGGCGGGGCCCGAGCGGGGCCTGGAGGCGGCGGCGG